CGGAGAGGGGCGGGGAGGGGGTGGAGGGGTTGGACTGGTCGCTGGGGGCACTCCAGCTCCAATAGCCACTGCTGCTGTGGCTGGAGGGCATGAATCCCCCTTCCTTCCAGGAGCCGTTGGCGCCTTCTGCGGAAATCCCCCACAGGCAAAACAAAACACAACGCCGAGCGGCTGAGGACGTGCCCGTGCGCCGTCAGGCAGCGTGCGCAAAAGGACCGAACGACCAAGTGAGACCAAGATACCACTGAATCCCTTTGGCGCACGAAACCTAAATCAATTCTCAGTCACTGTGGTTATTCCTCGCATTCTCCCGCTGGTTCCATATACAGTCAGGGCAGATCATGCACCACTGGAGAGCTGCAAAATGAAGATGGCAGGGGCGACACAAGAGACCGCAGACAAGGTGGAGAAGTTAGAGGTGCTTCACTGCACCTGTGGAGGACGACTTTCTGAATTAGACTTTAGCTGGGACACTGGGGATCTAAGCACCTGATACTGCAGGGTCTCTAGGTATCAAATGACATTACACTTGTCTTATATAGGAGGTAGGAGGTACTGGCCCTCGGGGGTAATACAACGGCAACTGAAAGTGACTGGTTTCATGGTTCTTGCACCCACTTTTATGAAGGGGAAAAACTCATCAGTGCTGTACAGTATAAATGCATCAGCCAGCTTACAATTACATTTTAGATTTACACATTTAGGCAGATGAGGACTCTGGGCATTATTTTCACTCAACACCAAAGGGCTAAAAGCAGAGCTTATGGATGGGAAGAGTAAGGCTCACTACACTCTGAGCTTCTGTGCGAGCCACCAGTGATAAGGAGCGCTCATGTACAGCGAGTTCGACGGACTTGAGCCCAGACAGGGCTTGGCCAACAGGACCAGACCCTGGGAGCTCCTGAACACTGCAGTCTACTCACCACCAAGTCTGACCGGAGGACTGCGGACGAGCGGGCTGGTGGACAGGCTGGTCAGGACCATGGCGGCGGTCACTTTATCCATGTCCACCTCCTCTGCAGACTTCCTGAAATGGGGCAAAGACACACGGAGCCAGGAGTCACACCGCTGAAACCACTCCAGCGAGCAAGCACAGCTGGCAAGCAAAGCTTTTACCGCTGCTCGAAAGCTACCTGAGAGCTGTTCTGGACCCTGTGTGGGTCTGAAAGAGACGGCCACGTTTTTAAGACAGCAGGCTTGATTAGCACATGAAAAATAAACGAGAGCACAGAAAATGCAGCTGGGGAACAAGCACAACTCAAAAGACACCAACTAATATGCCGACCCGTTAATGTGCTCATCTCTCCCTATTACTGCTCTCTAAGGGTAAGGCAGTCCTGGTTCAAGGGCCACCTGCTTAGCAGCCAATTATCTAATTAACTGAATGGGCAACCAATGAGGCATATGTAGACATTCTCCTGCATTCTCCTAGGATACTAGCAGTCCGATAATTAAGAGTCCTCCTGCCACAACCTCCCCTCTTTGGAAAAAGGAAAACTAGAAACCTGCCATTAGTTTCAGTTATCCTAATTATAACTAAGAAAGAGCTAGTGTATTTGGGGGATCGTGTCAAGAACATTGCTAATCTAGGTCTACAAAACTACTCCCAATATTTAAAATTGAAAACACCTTATTACACTGCCTACAGAACGTTTCAACTAACCTTGCAGAGTTTCCATGCAGAGTATTATACATCATAACTGCTAGGTACAAACAGGTAAAGTCAGAAACGAACACAGGCACAAATAACCTCGTTAACAAGAACACAGTTTCACAAAATCCTAATAATGTCCAAGTGAGTGTGGGGTTTATGACACCAAATTGATCTTTCACAAAACTGATGACTGCAACACACAGTCACAACACTTTAATGACAAGACCAAGATTTCACACACACAAGACGAAAAGAATCAGAAACAAAACTAGTCAGGAACAAGGCATACAGCTGAATGGCAGATGGGAGAGAAAAGACAACCTAGAAAACGGACAAAAACCACAGGAAAGAAAGGAGTAGAGCATGA